AATTTCCACCTCACCCGCCACCAAAAAAAAAAAAAAAATCACTCCCGGTCCTCCCAACACAAACCCAAACCCAAAATTTGGCAAAACCCCCAATTTTTTTTTTTTTTTTTCCTGAGAATTTTGGGAATTTGTGAATTTTGGGAATTTTGGCCAATTCCCACCTGGAGTTTCCTGGCCATGGCCACCACGTCGTGATCGGGGGGGTTGTATTTGTAGCAGTTGGAGAACATCAACCGAACGTCGGCGGCGAATTCCTGCGCGTCGCGGTAATCCCGGTTCTCCATCTTCCTCTGCCGCGAAAAACCAGACCGGGAAAGGGTCAAGGGGGTCATGGAAGAGTCAATGAGGTCATGGAAGGGTCAATGACGTCATGGAAGAGTCAACGGGGCCATGGAATGGTCAATGGGATCTTGGAAAAGTCAATGGAGTTTTGGAAGAGTCAACGGGGTCATGGAAGAGTCAATGGGGTTTTGGAAGAACCAAGGGGGTCATGGAAGGGTCAATGGAATCTTGAAAGAGTCAATGGAGTCTTGGAAGGGTCAACTGGATCGTGGAAGAGTCAACGGGGTCATGGAACAGTCAACGGGGCCATGGAACGGTCAATGGGATCAATGGGGTCATGGAAGAGTCAATAGAGTCTTGGAAGGGTCAATAAAATCATGGAAGAGTCAATGATGTCTTGGAAGAGTCAACAGGATCATGGAAGGGTCAATGGGGTCATGGAAGGGTTAATGAGATCTTGAAATGGTCAACGGTGTCATGGAAGAGGCAACGGGGTCATGGAAGGGTCAATGGGGTCATGGAAGGGTCAATGGGGTCTTGGAAGAGTCAACGGGGTCATGGAAGGGTCAATAAAATCATGGAAGGGTCAATGGGGTCTTGGAAGGGTCAAAAATATCATGGAAAAGTCAAGGGCGTCATGGAAAAGTCAACGGGGTCTTGGAAGGGTCAATGACGTCATGGAAGGGTCAACAGGATCATGGAAGGGTTAATGAGGTCTTGGAATGGTCAACGGTGTCATGGAAGAGGCAACGGTGTCATGGAAGAGGCAACGGGGTCATGGAAGAGTCAACAGGGTCTTGGAAATGTCAATGACGTCATAGAAGGGTCAATGGGGTCATGGAAGGTCAGTAACGTCATAGAAGTGTCAACGGTGTCATGGAAGTGTCAATAAAATCATGGAAGAACCAACGAGGTCATGGAACGGTCAATGGAGTCATGGAAGGGTCAATGACGTCATAGAAGAATCAATGGGGTCATGGAAGAGTCAATAAAATCATGGAAGAGTCAACGGTGCGTTGGAAGGGTCAAAAAATCCTGAAAAAAGTCTTCAAAAAATCCTAAAAAATCTGGCAAACGATGGCAAAAAAATCGCAAAAATTTCCAAAAAAATTCCCTAAAAAATCCCCAAAAATCCTCAAAAAATCTCTAAAAAATTCTCAAAAAATCCCTAAAAAATCCTCAAAAAATCCCTAAAAAATCCCTAAAAAATCCTCAAAAAATCCCTAAAAAATCCTCAAAAAATTCTCAAAAAATCCCTAAAAAATCCTCAAAAAATCTTTAAAAAATTCTCAAAAAACCCCTAAAAAATCCTCAAAAAATCCCTAAAAATTCCCCAAAAAATCCTCAAAAATCCCTAAAAAATCACAAAAAATCCCTAAAAAATCCAAAAAAATCCCAAAAATTTTCCTTTTTTATCCCCACCAACCTTGATGGTGCTGAGATCCATGGGATGCTTGATGATCTCGTGGTAATCGTGGAGCCCCAGCGCCGACGCGTCCAC